TAATATAGTGATTTCTTCGTCACAGGACATCTTGAAGAATAACAGTGCATGATAGAGAACATAAAAAAACTAATGGCAACAAAATTAATAAATTCGGAAAATACTTATAACATACCACCCGAAAAAATATTGGATATACATATATAAATCATCCTGTTCCGGCCTAAACATTATAAATGCTTCACAAACTAGAGATATCACACTTAATGATATTAGCAACAAACTATTTTAGAAGTCAGACCAAGGAATTAGTAGTTACCTTCATAATCCAGAAAAGGGATGAGGAATCCGAGAAAGAAATATATAAATCATTTCATATTTACAATAACTATACTTTTTTGAATGTTTTTATAAAACTATTATTAAAAATTCAAATATTCTTATTTTTAAGTAAACGTAAAGTTGAAACAAACTGAATAACTGCTGCAAAAAACTAAAACCACGTTGAAACAATATTTTTAAGGATTTGTAAAACCTTTCCCACAGAAAAATCACACTATAAACAACGTCCTGTTGTGAAAAAAAGCGAACAAAAATAAAAGTGATGCAAATGCTAGGGTAACAAAAAAAAGTTTTGCTTTTGCGTTTTTCTCACACCGCCAGGGCTTCGCGCATTTCGTATTCAAACACATATGTAACAATAACACATCCCTTTCAAGTCGCCGCTTGCTCTCCATTTATTTACTTCCCGTATGCTCGCATCGCCATAGCCATGGAGAGATACAAACTCCAGACTTATGATCATTTCGTATGCATATTGCAGCAAACGTATGTATGTAAAGTAAGGTGGAGTAATATGGCGCACTTTTAAAAACTGTTATAGTTTAATAAATAAAACCCTTATGGTATTATTTAAAGAAATTTTGTAAATTTAACAACAAACTCGTTTATAGAATATACCTTAAATATTTCTTTTAGAAAACGTCAAAATTTCAATTTTATTAGTGATCTTTTTGATATTTTTATCATGCTAGATTTCGGAGGCAATCGTAGTTAAATGCCTAAATGAATTTGTTTCTCTTAATTTTACCAATGTGTCTTTAAAACGTTATAAATTTTAATTTTAATTTTTTTATTCAAATAGGAAATTTTGTATATGTTACTAATGTGCAAACTTGGATAGTTTATAAACTAGCCAAACTGTCAGCTATTTTAATTGAAAATGTATTTTTTAACTAAATTAGCGGCTAGTTTACAAAATAACCAAGGATCTTGGCTAATTTACTTGAAATTATTAGGGAAACTAAAATAGCTGGATAGTTTGTATACTATCCAATTCAGTTTGGCTAATATGAAAACCAAAATTTCTAGTAACACAAAATAGCCAAGCTTTAGCTAGTTTGTAAACTAACCAACTAATTCTCTGGCTATTGCCCATTTTAGTTGGGTTTTTAGCTCAATGGGGCGGGGTCGGTTGGGTTGTGTTGTTGAGTTTGGGTTGGTTTGGGTTTTTTTCTCTCATTTTTGACCATTTGACCAATGGGGCGGGGTCGGTAGGGTTGTGTTGTTGAGTTTTCTAACAAGGAAGCGTTAAAATTTTGCCTATGATTCATTTTAAAAACGTTAAAATGCACAAAACAAATCCCGTTAAGCCGGCAAAACGAAAAACAATGCCGTAACCTCACTTTTTTAATAAATTAGTCAGAGAATTGGTTGGTTAGTTTACAAACTAGCTAAAGCTTGGCTATTTTGTGTTACTAGAAATTTTGGTTTTCATATTAGCCAAACTGAATTGGATAGTATACAAACTATCCAGCTATTTTAGTTTCCCTAATAATTTCAAGTAAATTAGCCAAGATCCTTGGTTATTTTGTAAACTAGCCGCTAATTTAGTTGAAAATACATTTTCTGACAGTTTGGCTAGTTTATAAACTATCCAGCTAGTTTATAAACTATCCAAGTTTGCACATTAGCCATAACATATATATAGATTAAAAGGTGTACTTTAAACTTATTTAAAAAAAATATACGTGTTCGATTAAAAGATATAGTTTATTAAATGTGTGCCTACTTTTTAGCCAATCTTACTGTTTTAAAAACATTTTACTTTGAGGTGTCATAAAATCAAAACATAATTATTTAAAAATAATTCTTTACCAAAATCTATTGCTTTAAGATGTCATTTTGTAGGTATAATTATACAGGGTGAAACCAAAATGCTTAGCCTAGTATAAGCAATTTGAGCAGTTCTAGACTCAGACTTTGGATTGCTTGCGCACTTTTACACGTCTTAACCGTGTACTCCACGCAAACGTACATGCGCCTTCAGGGAAATTAACGGGCCAGGCTGTAAATTGGCGGCAACATATTCAATTCGAAAATTAATTTTGCGTATAAATGTGAATCGTAAATCATTAAGTTAATTAATACCAAATGCAGCGTTGGCTATGGTTCTTTGTATTTTGGCTGATACCTCGTTCATTGTGGGTTCTTTAAAAAAACTTTTATCTATTTTGCGTTCATAATGACTTCATTATAACACCGCTTTCGGTGATGTAATGAGATACTTTATCCCACCCAAAATTTTGATTTTATAGGTTGGCTATACTTTAAACAGCATACTATTTTGCATATTGGTTATAATATTTTTATGATTTTTCTAGTACTTACCAGACTTTTCTGGCAATAAATTTTGTTTAACACCAAAAAAATTCTTTTTTTCTTCTTTAACATTAACAGCCGCTTATTGTAAATTAAGGACGGCATGGCGAATCGATTTTGACATTAACTGTCAAACCAATGATTGTGATACCAACTATCTAAAGTAAAATTCGACCAAATTAAATTTAAGGTATAAAATTAATTTTTTTTATAGAATTTTTGCAAAATAGATAAAATACCATAAAGAACTCATGTCATAAGAACTTTTGTTCGCTAGTTTTATAAATTGTCCACGTGCGACAAAATAACGTCTTTTGACATTAGTTCTTTAATATACTATTACTTTATAAAAATATATTCATTCTTAGCTATTTTAAAAATAATCATTCCTAGCAGTAACGGTTTTAAATAAGCCATTTTGAAAAAAAATTGAATTTTATTTACAATTGTTTCAAGAGAGAATTACCTTTATTTTTAATTTTGTTGAGAGTTTGTATAAAAGAAAATTTATTTGTAATTAAAAACGGAACACAAAATTTACTTTGGAAATCATAAAGTTGATTTTACTTTGTTTTTCCAGAATTAAGTTAATATTTTATTTAAATTTTTCAGTTATTCTTAATAAAAATGGGTAAAAGTATAAAACACATAAAAAGGATTATTGGTGCACCCTGTATACACACTCAGTGTAAAGTAAGTATTTTTATTACTATAAATATAAAATTATTCGTCAAATAAAAAATATTTACATTTTTAATATTTTTATAGTAACATTTTAAAATTGTAATGTATTATTACAAAAAGATTAATTTTCTCATACAGCGCAAAGCACACAAAGAAAATATAAATAAATATTAGGTAGATTAATTAGTATAATAAAGCATGCGTACCAACGTTATTAACATAAAATCCCCATTTAATCAGCAAACATAATATATTTAATGTTATATATCATGTGAAATGGATGGGTGGATATGATATATAAAATAATTAAAGAATGCTTTTAAAAAAAATATTCTGCAAAGATAATGTTGATTTAATTATTGGATTAATAATTCAGGTAGTTGAATTATTGTAAGAAAATAAATATTATAGTAATTAATTTGTTTAATGTAAACATTTTTATATGTACTATCCTCCACACCTCAAAGTCCCACCACGTGACCACGTACGGAACCGCAGTCTTTTGAAAATTTGGCATTTAAGGCTTTTCAGGTTATGTATCTGTCAAAGTATAGTCAACGAAAGAAATAATATTATGTTCAGGCGTTAAAAATGTATAAATCTTAATACCATTACAATAACAATGTATGGTTTAAGAATTTAAGAATATAAATACTGCATTTAATGAAATTCTAAAGTGTAAGGTGCCAAATAAGTAATATTTTTGTGCATTTGGTCCAAATATCTGGTTTTCTCCATAAAATAATTTTAACTAAACAGCATTTATTAAAAAAAATCTAGCTTCTCTATTATGGAATAAGAATATCTGTTTTAAAGGTAGGTTAATATATTATAACAAAAATATCATCTAATTTTGTAATTTTAAGGTTAGAAAAATTTATTTTGACCAAAATAAATAAGTATTTTGGATTATTTAAAAGACTGTATAATATGGTATTTAAAAATGTGGTAGTTTTTGTTAATACAAATAGTTAAAAAGCTTCGACTGAATTTGATCTACATCGAAAAATCATTATAACTTAAAAATTTTAATAAATCGCATGTCATGGGAGTATTAAATATTTTCACATTGCAAGTTTCTCTAAAAATTGTTTGTTTTCTTATAATCTAACTTAAAGTAAGTATGCCGAGAGGTATGCACAAGTTTTGTCATTAGAAGTATAAAAGCTTCAATTTAATTTGAACCATATTCAACAATTATTTAGTATACCTATATTAATTTATGACCATATTAACACACTCTTCCAAATAATCCACTTATTTATTTTGGTCAAAATAGATTTTTCTAACTTTAAAATACAAAATTAGATGATATTTTTTGTTTTAATACATTAACCTACCTTTGATACAGATATTCTTATTTCATAATAGAGAAGTTAGATTTTTTTTAAGAAATGCTCTTTAGTTAAAACTATTTTATTGGAATTTCATTAAATGCAGTATTTATATTCCTAAATTCTTAAACCAACCATTGTTATTGTGACACTATAAAGATTTATTAACTTTTAACGCTTAAACATAAGCGGTAACACTATAAATATTATTTCTTTCATTGACTATACTTTGACAGATACATAACCTGAAAAGCCTTAGATGCCAAATTTTCAAAAGACTGCGTTCCGTACGTGGTCACGTGGTGGGACTTTGAGGTGTGGAGCATAGTACAGTTATAATATTTTTAAAATTTAAAAAAATATAAAAAATATTCTTCTTACCTCAGCGACAAAAACCACAATTAAGGAATCGTTCGCCTCTTCAGGGGTCATTCCGTCCACCAAATTTTGAAGCGTGTCCATCAAGTAGCTTTGCTTTTCTCGCCGCACAGTTGGTACCCCCATCACCACGGAAACGCCGTTACGGTTTTTCGACATCAGGTATGCCAACCTAAGACTCGAAGGGTCGTCTAGAAGATGCGGGAGAAAATGGTAGGCCGATGGAAGTCGCAGCATTATGGGGGGGTTTAGACCAGTGGCAGCGTGCATTCCTTCAAGAAAAAAAGTTTGCATTATTATTGTAGGGCAAAGTAGAGAGTTATCGGACGCTTTATAGTTATTGGACAATTAACATTAACACTGTAAAAACAAGAGTTCTATAAATACACTCACTTGCAAAATAATCGATGCACACAAATTTTTGATGAATTTCAATCGCAACTCTGTAGAGTGGCAAAACCGTATATTGTTCTAAATTAAGTTTTATTTATCAAGTCACATCTATTCTTAACAGTTTTGTTTTTGGTTCACCTCGATATATTTATTTTTGTGGAAAATATGGATTTTAAAAAAAACATTGCAATTTCCAATATTTTTCTGTATGAAGAACTAAGGTTGCTATGGTCCATCCATAGCCTATGGAGGATGACAGTGACAGTTTTGTTGAATCATCCCATACTTGGACATGTCATACACGGCTTTCAAAAGCTATCAAATTGTTTTTTGCAAATTAATGTTTAAATTTTGAGGTGTCTTCTTACTTTATAAAATGGATATGTCTCCGACTGATGTTGCCAGAGCTATTAATTTAATCCAGGATGGACGGTCACAGTATAACGTGGCAAGTGTTTTAAACGTCATAAGAAGTAAAGTACAAAGGGCAACATCAGTCGGAGACATTTTTTAAAGTAAGAAGACACCTCAAAATCAACACATTAATTTACAAAAAACAATTTGATAGCTTTTGAAAGCCGTGTATGACATGTCCAAGTATGGGATGATTTAACAAAACTGTCACTGTCATTCTCCATAGGCTATGGATGGACCATAGCAACCTTAGTTCTTCATACAGGAAAAATTTTGGAAATTGCAATGTTTTAAAAAAAAAACATATTTTCCACAAAAATAAATATATCGAGGTGAACCAAAAACAAAACTGTTAAGAATAGGTGTGACTTGATAAATAAAACTTAATTTAGAACAATATACGGTTTTGCCACTCTACAGAGTGGCTTACTCTATGAAAAAATAAATTAGAACTTTTTTGTAGAGCGTTCAATTTCCTACCAAAATAATTTTTCAGTTCGTTTTTACAATGCTTAAATGTCAAGATACAAAATTAAGAAAAAAGAATTTTTTTTTCCATGTTAAATAAATGGAAAATGGAAAGTTAGGAACAGTCACCACTTAATGTTAATATTAAGAGCTCAAATTTTTAGAGGCTTCTTTTTTCACCTTCCTGAAAGTTTTTAGCCTGATTTTTAGTTGAAAAAAAAAGTTGCTAAAAAATGACTAATCACCCTAATTACTATACTTTTTTTATTATTTTTTATATTTTTGTTTTTAAATTTACATGATTTAATTGTTAATTATCCTAGTTATTTCATTTTTATTACAATTTCCTTTAAACAAGCAACAGGTAAATTACTTAATAAATTAGAGTAACTACCCCGTACGCTCAGCCTGATACAATATATCACCCCTTAAATGAACTTCCCAAGCTACCCAAGGCACCCCTCGCAATTTCCGGCCTTTCTTAACCCCTCCCGCACAGAAGATATCCTTACTATACTGTTACAGTAGCCTTCCCTTTTCTCTCTCCCTCACCTGACATGTTCTTGATTAACTGCTTGACCTCGGGCCTCAACTCTTGCACCGGAAGCCCGTACGCGTTCCCGTTTCCTGTCGCGTTCTCTCCGGGCACCGATATTTGATCGATGTGCTGGGTAAGCTGCTGCAGGTCTTCCTGTCGCATCCGGTACATGGAGTCGAGGTACTGCAGCTTCACCTGAAGCTCGGCGAGACGCTGTCCCAGCAGCTGCTCCGAGCTCACGTCTGAAAAGAAACAGAAAGAATGGAATATATATATATATATATATATATATATATATATTGTAAGGGTCCTGTAGTATATAAACTTTTAAATTCAAATTTGGCGCTATTTTAACCAAGGAAAATTTAAATAATCCACTAGAAATAATATTATAGTTTTAAGTTATTTTATGTTTAAAATCCTATTGCGTTTAAAAATTTCACTTCTTTGTATCTGAACGTCGAAATATTAGGAGGATTTTGTTTATGTTACACATTCTTGCTTAAGTGGCATAGAGTTTAAAAGCTAGATTAGGAAATATAATACACACAGAGGGTTTTTGCTCGCCCTTCGAGATACTCCTGTTAAACCGTTTGTGAAATATATTATAATATAGTTATAGTTTTTGTGATTGTTACCGATTTTCTGCTATAATTAGGTATGTACACATTTTTATAAATTGTAATATTTGCTAGTAATGATAAACAACTCCTCGTTTTGGGTTTTCTTAATATATTTTTGCTTATAATTTTGAACAATATTATTTCATTCGCATTTTGGTCTATGACGTTTATCATTGCTAGTTTATTGGGTCCTAATCATTTTAATATGTGTAAATAACGAGTGATTTTTGGTAATTATTTTTTATTGTATCACATTTCATTATTTTGGTTTAATATTTTGGGATCGCGCATACACTGAGTTTTAATCTTTCTGTTGTCGCGTTTATCATATACACTGAATTACATTTACCCTAAAAATTACTATTTTGTATTGTCTTTATTTTGAGTTACACTGGCCTTGATTTTGTTGTTTCCTTTTGTATAACTTTGTATGACTTTATTTAACTGAAATGTATTTTATTGTTTATGAAACTCAGTGTATCATCTCGGTATTAAGGTATTTATTTATTTTAACTCTTTGCATTTGTACTCAGGCTAAAGCTTTTAACGATTATATTACTATTATAATATTTGTATTATTTGGGTAAGGTTTATAAAATGCTATTAATTATTATTCTTGCTATTATTATTATTATTAAATTTGATATTACCATTAGGTCATATCATGGTAAGGTAATAGTATCGTTTAGTCTTTTGATAGATTCTGGATAGAGACTTTGATTTAAACTGCTTATCTTAGCGCTTTATTTGGAATATTTGATAATGGCTTTTACGTTACTATATATGATAAAAAATCTCTTTATGTTATTATCAAGCGCGATACTTTCTGATGGTTAGAGTTTTGGCCATGTTCCGGTGTTTCTTGTTATGACTCTCTCCTATTTATTATTTTATTGTATTTTATTTATATTTTATACCATTTTATTTTATTGCATATTGTTTATTTTATTTGTGTCTGTATTTGTTTTCGTTTGGAGACTACTCATGCATGAATATTTGAACATGGGTAATATATTAGCATTATTTCAGAAGGATTTATCCTTAGAAGAAAAATAGTGTTTTTATGTTATTACCTATATAAACTCTGTGTGCAGAATTGTTTGTATATTTTCGCAATACTTTTGTCTTGTTCTGGGCATTGATTTTGTAAGAATATTTAAACATATTGTGATATAGCGACACTTTAGTGAGATAGGATCACCATAGCTGTCGTTATATTACTTCGCAGAGTATGCAATTGTTCCATAGTGTGGTTATTGGCTACGGTTAAATATCTGCACTTGGTTAAATCATATGAATTCTCTCTATCAGAAATATGTCGTTGCTGTAGTTTATTTATATAAAATCGTATCCTCGTTTAATAGTTCGAAGATGCGTGGTAAGGTAAACAAATACAACACTCCGTCATAAAATGACGATCTCTATTATAACTATTTTACCTGAGTACAAAATGTTTTGAATATTGATAAAAACACTCAAATTATATGAAATATGTTTATCTGCTTTTTATGTTATTTTATTCACTTGTTATTTATACTGTATTCTTGTGATTATGACCCATATAACTATGTTTTGTTTTGTATTTTATTTTTATTTGAATTGTGTAAGTCGACAGGGTTTTTATGGTCCCTTTTCCCTGTGCTCTGACTCAACGGGCCACCCCTTTGTCTTTGCTTAAATTAAATCAGGGGTTAAAATTAAATACTTGTGTTTCATTAAACCTGACCAATTTCAAAATAACGTTATTATCAATGTAAGTAAATACACAACGTAGAGTCCTAATTTTTATAAAGTAAGTAAATTAACTAGACGATCACGAATATGCCAAAACAAGTATTTCAGTATACTTAAAGAATCGGGTTACTAAAATACATAGTGTACCTTACAATATATTAGGGTGTGCCAAAAAAACTCGATATTTTTGTTTTCTTGCTCTCCACCCAAAATATCGTAGAATATGTCCGAACAAATATCCTGTTAAAAGCGGAGCTCATAATTTCAATTTTAAGAGGTCGATTCAGAAGTTTTTCCGCTTAAATAACACAGAAAACTGACTTTTTTACCTTATTTATTCTTGCAACCTAGGAAGAATTTTTTTTCATAAAATCCATGACTGAATCTTACAAAGCATTAAATTTGGACGAAAAAATCTTATTAAGCCAAATTTCTATTTTCATTTTTTTATTTTTACAGAGCTTTAAATTTAAAATTTTAGGTTTTTTGCCTTTTTCAGCTAAACTATTGAAGTTAGACGAAAAAGTCAAATGGCAATTTTTTAGCTTGTCTGGTGGACCACAAAAAGTATAAGGCGAATTTTTTGTATCGTCAATATTCTAAAAGTTACAGGCGTATAGTCATCATTTTTGTATTATTAACTTTTTGTTAGTGAAATATTAACTGGAAGATGAAAATTTTTAATGCATATTATAATGAATATTAATGTAATAATTACAGATTCAGAATTTTTTGTATGATAATAGTTAGTAAGATATTATTACATGAAATTCTTATAAAATTTTGTATATTGTCAATTGTTTACCTGATTTACGTAAAAAACCATCGAAATAAGCTTAAATAAATCTGTAAATTTTAATGGTAGACAGTACATCAAATTTTACTAAAACAATTTTTTCGAAAATTCAATTTTTTTTATAATTCTCTATTGGCTTTATGTGCTAACATTAATATTTCACTAACAAAAAGTTAATACAAAAATGATGACTTTATACGCCTGTAACTTTTAGAATATGACGATACAAAAAATTCGTCTTATACTTTTTTGTGGTCCATCAGACAAGCTAAAAAATTGCCATTTGACTTTCCGTACAGGATGTGGTCTAGATAATTTTGGAAAAATATTATGCACGCCACTTCTATTTTTCAAAATAAAAATTATTTTTTAAATCCCCATTCATTTTAGGGCAAATTTGATTTCTTGACCATTTTTCGTACGACTAACGGTTTTTGATGAAAAAAATAAAAAGCATTTAATGCGCTTATTGAGAAAACAATGCCATGATTAAATAAACATTAAAATTAAATTTAATTATAAAATAATTTTAAAAGAACTAACATTAAATAACGTAAACAAAAACAAAAATATTTAGATTAGCTGTTGAAAGTGGCCACCACCTGCAAGTATGCATGCTTCAGCTCTTCTCCTCATTGAGTTTCGTACCCTTAGAAAAATTCCTGGAGTATTTCTGATAGTGTCACAACAAACTATTATGGGGTTTCTCAACTCCTCTTCAGTATTTATTGGGGTGCTGTAATTGCATTTGAGTTATCATTAGGTTTAAAAATTTGATTTTTGTTCTTATTTAAAAAAATTTTCTATAGGTACTATATTTTTTAAAAGCCCTTTCAATTTAGTTTGTTTTTTTCTGTTTTTTTAGATGCTAATAAAAAAAGTATTAAAAGCCCGACCTTCGTTGGATGGGGTAAGAAATCGGTTAGTAAAAACACTTCTCGGGATTAAATTAACTGTACCAACATTAAATATTTACGGCACCAGCTGCGGCAACAAGTGGGCTTAGGACTAAAAGCCCGGTAAAACCCATTTATAAATTAAAATGCTTAATATTTCACCAGGCCCAAAGAAACAAAAATGCCCCGCGTACGTACTGTAAAATTTAACGTTTAATCCACTCTTTCACAGCGAGTATGGCTATTTTTAATGTATGTGGGCACAGAGGACGGTTAAAATTTGATGGCTCAATACCTTTTTAAAATGTTTGTTGAAAAAAAAATTTTTAACCGCAATTAATTATTTTTTACAATGTTTTAAAAGTCTAAAACCTATCCTCCGTGACTGTTACCCTTTCTATGTTAACCTATATGTTTTCAAATATCTGAGGTAGTAAACGCATACTAAAAATATCAGTTCACTAAGTAAATTAAACACATCCAAAGAAATCGAATCAAATATAAAATATTATTAAAAATTAAAAGATATAATTTTTATAACCATTTAGGTAGGTGTTACAAAAATTGATTATATCCTCCGTGAATCTGTTTTTGCTTTAAATTTTTTGCAACGGATGGCGCTTTAATCATTTTAAATAAGCAAAAACCTCTGTTTACGACATTATAGATGTATGTGATTCCTGAAGGTCAGTTAGAATTTATATGCAGATGAGAGTGTTGCTGTTTTATAATTCAAAAGTTTAAGTTCATTAATTTGCTATTTAAAAACCTATCCACCGTGAAGTGTAATATCTCAGTAAATAGATTTTTTTATAAATATTTTATGTATGTACAATTGTATTTTTTAAAAATATTAAGGTGTCAACAGATACAATAACTAATTTCAAATATATGGTATTTATTCTCAATGCCCTGTTACTTTACTTTAGACATGAATTAAACATAATTATTTGCGGACTTTGGAATTATTGAATATTTATAGATCATTAAACTTATTTATACTTTTACGTGATATAAAAAATGTAATAGCGGACATAAACTACGGTTACTAACAAAATAAACATTTTCTTCTTTAACATTAACAGCCGCTGATTGTAAATATTGTCAAACCAATGACTGTGATACCAACTATCTAAAGTAAAATTCGACCAAATTAAATTTAAGGTATAAAATTAATTTTTTTTATAGAATTT